CGAGATGCGGACGTCACGTGATATGGAACGAATATTCCTAACGTAAATCTAACTCTAATAATATCTTAGATGTTGTTTAAAAAATAAAAAAAATAAAATAAGAAATAATTTTTTTTTAACTATATCTAAAAAATGTTTAACTATTGAAAAATTCATAAAGATTTAAAATACCCAAGTCTTTATTTAACCCTAGTTTACATGTATTTAATTTTAAAATCCAGTATTTTTCTTTTTTTCTGCGTGTGTATATGGAACTGAAATCAGAATCTATCAATAAACATTTACAGTGTCCTGATTGATTAAAGTGTTCAGCTATATATATATATATATATATATATATATATATATATATATATATATATATATATATATATATATATATATATATATATATATATCAGTGTGTGTATATATATAAGTGTGTGTGTTTGCGTGTTTTTATGTCTGTATGGATTTGCACTAAGACATGCTCATGTGTTTACAAATGCTCCTCGCATACTTATGTTTTCCGGTGTGAATGATGTAATTCCCCTAATAAAAAGGGAATAATGATTTACCAAATGAAAACACACGTTGCGCAATTTGATGCTCAAAGCAATGCCTCCCGTCAACATGGCAGTGGTCACGTGAACTGAAAATGTTTTGATTGGTTCATCTACATGCCATCCACGCCCTTTTCTTTCCGCACCGACTGTCAATCGCAGCTGCACCAGAAGAGCGATGAGATATTTTAACAATCCAACGAGAATCTCATTTAGACGAGATTTCATTCGTGACTTCTTTATTCCTTATTTTTATTCTTCAAATGCCGATGCAGATTTAACTGCCAAATGACATGGCGAAACAACCAAAAAAAAGGAAAATAATATTGAGAATAAATGACAAAATAAAGTAAAATTCGCCCGAAAGGAATTTTGGGCTATCTATCTATCTATCTATCTATCTATCTATCTATCTATCTATCTATTTCCTGCTGATCCTTATCTATCTATCTATCTATCTATCTATCTATCTATCTATCTATCTATCTATCTATCTAAACAGATTTTGTGTGTGTGTGCCTATACATATATATGCAATTCTGGCTATGCGTATCTGTGTATCTGTATGTGTGTTTCGTCAGTGTGATTACGTTTATAGATGGCATGAAAGACATATAATACATATTCTATAAGAGGTTTCCACTTGTAAGTCCTGCGATTACTACAATTTACGGAGGAATGTTCTCTTTTTTTGTAATTTTTATGTAGACACAGGTTACCTTCTATCCCATAAAAAATAATTAAGTAATTATTTATCCATTCCATTATATAGAGATTTTAAATTTGGATAGAGATGACTCAGTTATCTATCTATCTATCTATCTATCTATCTATATATATATATATATATATATATGTGCACACACACACAAACACACACATATATATATATATATATATATATATATATATATATATATACACATATATATATATATATATATATATATATATATATATATATATATATATATATATATATATATATATATATATATATATATATGAATAAAAATGACAATAGGAAAATTGGTAATTGCTGACGCGTTTCGTCCAATGTGGACTTTATCAAAGCAAAATACGAATTTGCTTTGATAAAGTCCACATTGGAAAACGCGTCAGCAATTACCAGTTCTCCTATTGTCATTTTTATTCATAAATATTATCTTCTCTACCGATTAAATCGGAGAAATTTTATATATATATATATATATATATATATATATATATATATATATATATATATATATATATATATATATATATATATATATATTTATCACATTACACGTTATATTTTTGTGGATACTCTATTTCATTAAAGGCTCCATTTATTTATTAAACAGTCTATTTATTTAATTTCGTTTAGGAATTAAGTGTATGTCGGATTGATGAATAGAATCCATTACCTTAAAATATATATATATATATATATATATATATATATATATATATATATATATATATATATAAATATATATATATATATATATATATATATTAAATAAGATGTATTTCTCTCAGACATATTTTGTTAAATCATATGGATGAGTTCTGTCTATCAATTTTTTTATATTAAATATTTCATTTTCCGAAAAAAGTTGTCTTATCGCAAAATTTGTCAAAATTCAATTTAACTTTTACTTTATATCATTTTTCCCGAGTAATTCCGAATGTTGCTCCATTCGTTTAAAATAAAAACAGTCACACAGAAATTTCAATTTTAACCATTTATATGATGTCATCAGTACTGACGAAATTTATTTCCTAAAACCTGAAATGCCAAAATTAAAAACCTGTTGCATAACTACACACAGTACAATCCTTTAAAAACAAGAAACTTTAAAATATTTAATACAAACTTTGACAAACAGAACTTGTCCATATTTTTTCAAATAAATGATCTTAAATATATATATATATATATATATATATATATATATATATATATATGCATGTGTGTGTATTGTATATGTACAAATGTGTTTACTAATTCCTCGTAGTGAGACACTGTGTATTTATGGAGAGGGAATATACACATATATACACGCATGCTGACAAAAACAAAAATGGAAACAGATCCAAGAACATATAGGGGTCATTAAAACATTAAAAGATAAAATGCCGATAAGTAATTCATCCTTTCTCTTGGACCAACCTTAATTGTTTTATGACCCTTCGCGCAGAACTCTTCACTGCCAATTCAAGAAAGACATTCGGATTACTAACACAAAAACAGAGAATGTCTCATATCGAGAATATTTAACATTGAAAAACATAAGGAAAAAATTAATTATTTTTAATAATATGTGGAAATCTCCGCCTTTTACCTGAAGACGGTCACGAGACCAGAAACATGTGTAGTAAAATTATGGAAAATAAAGCATAATATTTAAAAAAAAAAATCCACATTACAACCAAAAACGTTTGCGGTATCTCTCTTCTTTTTAATATACACACTTTTCTCTCATTGGAACTACTATAACCTCTTCCCTTATATTTATATATATATATATATATATATATATATATATATATATATATGTTTATATATGGGTGTCTGTGTTATAATTGTTTACTTGCGAAGCAATCCATTTTTTGTACAAGTATAGAGACGTCTAAGAAGGCATTGCAATTAAGCAAAGTTTGTAAACATTTCCAAAAGCTCTGAATATTCAAGAGCTTTCGGCTATTATTTTAGCCATGTTCAAGGACGATTTATTTTTTATTTTTTATTTTTAACTGTATTTGTGGGTAAGAGAATAGCTCAAATCGGCCGGATATGCACCAACATTGGACAGTTTTTACACACATGCGCACAAACGAGGTATGCTTGGAATTTTAAAGTGTATATTTGTTTTTGTTTTTTTTTCTTAAATATAGCCGATTTCATTTAGTTTCTTTCTCTTTTTATTTCCATCACTATTGTTATTAGATAAACCCACACTATAATAAGAAAAAAATTTCCATGATGGGTAAAAATTTACTTTGGATGAAATAAGGCGATTATGTCCCAAAGGACGAAACGTATCACACTAGAACTTCTTACACATTGTTTACCACTTTCTAACAAGATTTTTTGATATATAAATATATCGTTATATATATATATATATATATATATATATATATATATATATATATATATATATATATATATGAGGGTCAAGCAGATCAGATAGGGAAACCGACGTATATTTGATTATAATGATGAATGCAGGACCATCGACATTTTTTCAAATTGAATACAGAGACCTGGTGCACTACGTACCACAAGGTCCCCAAACGACCCTCCGCTGATTTTGAATTCAGAGTTGTCCTTCTCCTAGAGCAGTTGCCATCCCTATAGAAAGTCTGTCCAGCTATTTACATAGCTGGAGGGAGAAGAAGAGGATTCACACCTTTCCCAAGCCCAGTGAATGTAATGGATCTGACTGGAAGGAAACCGACTATCCATTCCCGACAACATCTATATATATATATATATATATATATATATATATATATATATATATATATATATATATATATATATATATATATATTTTTGATTGAATGTGTGTGTAATATATATATATATATATATATATATATATATATATATATATATACCATATTATTTATATTATATATGAGCAAGGAGCTCAATAATATATATATATATATATATATATATACAGAAATATATATATATATATATATATATATATATATACCTGTGTGTGTGCGTGCCCGCGTGCGTGCGTGCCAGCGTGCGTACCCGCGTGCGTGCGTGTGTGTGTGTGTGTGTACACCCACCTCAGATGAGAACTAATAAATTACAATTCCACTGTTTGTAACATTTAAATTAAAAGAGGGCTCAATTCAAAGTAGAGCTATGTTATTTATTTTAGAATATTACATCGAAAACATGTCAAAATCGCTACATAATTGCAGTCGTCTATCGATCCATGTCAATGCATCTCAACAGCCGATTGTAAATTACTGACGCGTGAACGATTTATTCCGATTAAAAGCAAACTTTCTTTGCTCTTAAATCTGAATAAATCGTTCACTCTCTCCGAAAAAATACTTTGGTTTTATCGCTAAATTTGTCAGAATTCATATTAATTTTTAATTTATATTATTTTTCGCAAGTAATTTCGTTAAAATTATATATAAAAGCATATTACTTTTTGCTTTTAACTCTGAATAAATTGTTCACTCGCCAGTAATTTACAATCGCCTGATGAGATGCCTCGATACGCATCGAAACACGACTGCAATTGTGTAACGATTTTGATGTTTTTCGATGCAATATCCTAAAATAAATTAATGTATTCATTAAATAATATAGACAAGTGTTCTCTATTTTATGTAAATTCTTTTCATATCGTCTGATAAAGTTTAATAACATTATCATTAAACGAAGATAGAAAATCACAATATTGATACATATCCAATCTAAGCTTTTCGGCTTACATATTATCAAAGATGACAATTACAGTACAATATGATGATAGTCTGTTTCTGTTTACATGGATGATTGCAACGATAAACACGTGCATATAAGACGCTATAAGCGAAAATCGCACCGCAGCCTCATGACATCACACATGACCACTGAGATATATATATATATATATATATATATATATATATATATATATATGAGAAAGAGAGGTGAAGATTAATATAAAGAGGGAAATCTAAATATATAAAACATTTCCGAGCTTGTTTAATCACAAATAAACTTTTACTACTTGCTCTTAATGCTTTCCAAATTTAGAGTAAGATTAAACATGGAAGGTTTTAATCCAATGCAACGGTGTATTATCTTCTAATTTAAACTCGTAAAAAGATATATATCCTCAAACTGCACATTCTGAATATATATATTAAAATAAATCTCAATTTTATTATTGAATTTAAAGTGAGCCATGTTTTAGTTCCGTCATTGTTCCGATCGCGTTCGTGTGAAATTGAACCCGTACCGCATCCCTTCATTTTCCATTTAAACGCTATTTCAAAGCCGCTATTCATTTAATTCACAGGTTTTGCTTTGTATTCCTTATCTTTGAGGTGTGTCCCCAAATAAGACATTCTAGTGACGTGACGTATTGTAAACACAGGGGAGGGTATTCGCTGTTCAATCTTTTCGGCTGATATTCATCAAGATAGCACTTCACATCACGACTCTCAGGATCAACTTACTGGAAGGTGTAGACTAATGTTGTAGTAAAACAATTCCAGAGAGTAATCTTCAAAATGCGCCAGGCACACGATTTTGACACGCCTATCTCCCAAGTCTCTTACCGAAGAGATTTTCTTGGATATTGATGGTAAATTTCGAATAGTATTGCTTCAGTGGTGGTTAATGTCTGTTGTCTTCCGGAATGATGCTTTTTTTGACGTCTTGAATAGTTACTTGTGTTTCAAACTTATCTCCAATGTTTATCTACGGTGAGTGACTTCGCAGAATCAGTTTGAAACTCACTTTCAAACTACATTTGCATTTCAGTTACGCT